AAATTCTTAGATTATATGAGTAGTCTTTGAAGAATAGGGTGCTGGTATGATTTTCAGTGGTAGGTTTGAATTTAAAAAAAGGTCTACATTCATGAGCTCAACCTAATAAGTTTTTTTTTCTAAAGAAGGTCATTATTGTGTTATGTTTCCATTGAACCGTCGATTGAAAAGTCTTAGAAATATTTAGGCAATAATAAGGAAAAAATTCTAGGTAACCTTTCATGTCCATAATTTCTATTATAATATGTAAAATAGACTAACACTTCGTTCTTTAAACAATCTTATAGACACTAAATTTCATATTACCGAACAAGTAATCAAATTCGTTATTTATAGGAAACATAAGTTTTAATATCAAGTGTTTCCTCAAGTAAAAATGCATCCTTCATTTCGACGAGAATTGAGTTTTGTACAGGATTATCTCTACATCCTGTCGCTCTTCTTGAATGTTTAAACATCAGTCGAAAATTTGATTTTCGTTTCAATTTTAATCATATACATACGTCATTTACATTCAGCTCCAATATTATAAAATAGTTATTTTAGTACATAATAATGACAGAATGCTTGATAGAAATTATCTCAGATCAACTAGGCAAAAAGTAACCATTCATTGATGCGTGATTTTCTCATTAAAATATACATTCAAATTTGATTTTTTTCGATAGTAAAAATAAATACTTTCGTGAATATGAATAACTAAAAACTGAATGCATTATTAATGCAGAATTAGATCACATAAATCCATATTAGTGAATGAAATCAACCACAGACATGTGTTTGATATCAGCTTGAAGTATTGCTTCAATTTGCAGCTCATGTTAAGAAGATTGCTTCCATTAAGAGTATCGGAAACTTTCATGACAGTTTCTTTCCCGAGACTTGGATAACTTATACCAATATCTAATCGATGATACTAAGGTGTTGATTGATTTTTTGTTGAGCTGTAATTGTCCTTATACGCAAAGATCGTGATAGATTTAATAAACCGAGAAATATAATAGGTTTTAATAATTTGTCAGCTTTTCAAGTCATAATTTGTCATCTGTCACTTTATGCAGACTTCGTATATAACTTACTCAGAAGCACAAAATCATAACTAAATCGAATTGGAGAAAAGACTAATTGGTTTTTACATCTATCTTGATCTTATAATGAGTATTTAATTTGACCAACTCAATTGATTAATATTCATTAACATTTTTAGTCATTCGAAGTAACAGAAAAATTTATCTGTATTATCGGAATAAAAAAATTAGTTTTTAAGTAAATAAGTTGATATAAGTGATGTTTTCTTCTTGGACCAATAGAAGTTTCAACAAACTTCTCTTGAAGGTAAATAATTTCATATAAAGTTAGAAAAATTCGATATGAATTTTCTTCTTAAATTTCTATGAATTCTTACAGTTTCATAATACGATGATACATATGTTAAAATCAACGACTTCGAATATTATTCTCAATCATGAAAGTTAGATTAGAGTTTTTTCTGAGAATTTTTTTCCAATAGCCTTAATTTGTACACAACGTCGTACGAAAAATAAAAAGACAGAAATAAGAATGTTTTTTGAATCAAACAGTTAGGCCAAGATATTTTTTAATGAAGACAAATGTATCTTAGTCATGGTATCACTACGGTTATGAACACCAAATCTAACTGCTACAAAGTATCAACGAATAGAATAAAGTCGCATTACAATATCTTAGTTACAGTTTAAAAATATCAAGTTATCCATAATCATCATTTATTTAAAAACAAAATATCTAATAGACAAACATCACCTATTTGAAACAAATCTAATTTTAATGATGAGTTTTTATTAAAATTAGGTCGACTTTTATAAAGATCAATTTTTTGATTAAGAGAGACTATCAATTCAGTTCAGGAACATAGATACGTAATAATGATCATTACTCCAGAATACAGAACAGAACGATTATTTTCAAATTTATATTTAAAAATAGTTGATATCATTCAATGAGTGATATTTATGTTTTACTAAATTTCGTTTGCCTTAATAAGTAGTCATTCATGAAATGAAAAGTGATTGAATTATGATAAAGTAAAGATTAGCTTTGATTGACTCATGACTTCTATGTGAATGAAATGAAGAATGTTTCTCAAGTTCGAAAACTTGGCTTGCAACCCAATAACCTCGACTTGTTTAACATCTTATTAAATGATCGAATCATTAGTATATAAAATAAAACTTTCGTATTAAGAAAGCAAGTAAGCATTTAATAGACTTACAGACATACCTTAGAGTGAATGTTATTGAAGTTCAATTTCTGGATTCGATGTGACGCATTAGTTCAACGAACATAAATCAAATGAAGGGTGTGGGTGGGTGTGGGTGTGGGTGTGGGTGTCGGCGTGGGTGTGGGTGTCGGTGTGGGTGTGGGTGGGTGTGGGTGTGGGTGTGTGTGGGTGTGGATGTGTGTGGATGTGGGTGTGGGTGTGGGTGTGGATGTGTGTGGGTGTGGGTGTGGGTGTGGGGTGTGGGTGTGGGTGTCGGTGTGGGTGTCAGTGTGGGTGTGGATATGGGTGTGCTTGTGGGTATCTTGAGTTTTCTGATTGCCACACCCACACCAACACCCACACCCACACACCCCACACCAACACCCATACCCACACACCCCACACCAACATCCACACCCACACACCCCACACCAGCACACACACCCCACACCAGCACCCACACCCACACACCCACACCCATACACCCCACACCAACACCCACACCCACACACCCCACATCCACATCCACCCACACGCACACGCACACCCACACCCACACCCACACCCTGCAATAACTTCAGAAAGTTATCTCAAGTTAGTACATATTATTTAGTAAAAATATGTAGAAAGACGGATAGAATTCAAAAATTGTATCATATTCGGTTGAGAAATTTGAAGTTGAAAGGAAGATTTCTTAGTAGATATATTTCTTATATTTTTCTTTATCTGTCTAGAGTGATTCTAATCAAAATGTATATTAATCATTGATTGTTGAATAAAAGTTGTTCTATAAATTATTATCAGTTTAAGGGTGGGTGTGGGTGGTGTGAGTGTGGGTAAGTTAGTGCTGGTATATTTCTGATCCATACCCCACACCCACACCCACACACACCCTGTTTAGTTCTCAGTTGATAGCTATCAATGTAAAATATTGATTTTCATGGATAAACATGTCAACCATTTGAAAATTATCGCTTTCGACTGAAGTACAGAAGTCAGCTGCTGTTTGAGTATAAAGAAACGCTCTAAGTGTTTTACTTTCAAAATTACAAGAATCTTCCACATTTTACTATATTTATATCGCCTCAATCTTACCCCAGGACGAGCGTTACAGCGACCAGAGACGGCCGTATACGGCGCCGTAAACAACCATATACGTCAAATTTACGGCCGTAAATACGCAGTATTACGAGGGACCGTATTAGAACCGTATTTCACCGTGCCGTATACGGTAGTATACGACGATCGTATACGGCCGTATTTCCGGCTGGCCTCCAAGCTATGCCAACGTAACCGGCCGTATACGTCATCGTAAACGACAATGAAAAAGCTGTGCCGAGCCGTAAACGGCCTGGTAACCAACGTTTACGGCATCCCATACCCATGCAAAAGGTCTCAACAAGTCTCAATCAGTCCCAATTAGTCTTCTTTTAAAATATATCCCTAGAAGTCTCATAAAGACTCTTTCTGAGATTTATAAAAGCTCTCAATGGGTTCCAATGAGTCCTTTTAGGAATCTCAAAAAAGTCTCAATCAGCCTTTTTTTCAAATATCTCACCAGAAGTCTCAAAAAGACTCTTTCTGAGATTTATGAGAGGTCTCAATGAGTCTCAATGAGTCTTTATAGTAATCTAAAACAAGTCTCAAAGAGTCTCACATAATCATTTTCTGAAAAAGTCTCAATCAGTTTTTTTTAGATGTCTCACGTAAAGTCCCAGGAAGTTTTGTCCTGAGATTACTAAAAAGTGTCAGTAGTGTCAAACTTGAAAGTTGAATTCAATTATTCAACTAGTCAAGTTCAACTGTTCAAGTATTCAACTAATCAACCCATCGGATGCTACAAGTGTCCTCTAGGATACTACAAGTATCCCGCATGGTGCTACAGGCACCCTGCATGGTGCTATAAGCATCCTGTAGGATGCTACAAGCATATCTGGATGCCGAAACAGTCACCTACGATGTCACAAGTATCACCAAGAATGCTACAAGCATTTCCTAGAATACTACAGGTTTTGGTTGAGATGCTGCAGAAGTTATCTAGGATACCATAAGAGGCATGTGAGAAGCCTGAGCTAATGTGCAGCGCTGAGTAGGAATAATGGTGTACACAGAGACGTGCGTAGGTTGCGGCTCTTCGGGGGGGGGGGGGGGGGGGGGGGGGGGGGGGGGGGGGGGGGGGGGGGGGAGGGGGGGGGGGGGGGGGGGGGGGGGGGGGGGGCGTGAAACGCCCCAGGTTGCAACGCTGAAATAGAAGGTGTGTTAGGTGGGAAGACGCGCTTTCCACTGAATATTCGCAGAATACTAGAGAAGTTAAAATTTGAATAGTTGAATAGTTGAATACTTGAAGTAATAGTTGAATTCAACTTTCAAGTATGACATGCATGCCAGGCAACACGAGTCAGATTTTTTTGTTTATTTGCCAAAACTGACTTTTTTTTCTCTAAAAACACACTAATACCATAAAAATGAGCATGGAAAATAAATGGATATTTTTGTTCCGATATATAGATTAAAGAATTTTTGAAGAAAGGAAAACTTGAAAATAAAGATAGATGTGGGGTGTGAATTTGCGCATAAACAAGATTCATACCCAGAGCCACACCCACACCCACCTAAACAGCTATGTTTTAAAGTGGAACAATATCTTAAAGAATACTAGAATTAAGAAAATATTGACTTTGGTCTAAAATGACAAATACTTTGAATATGAAGTATGGTATTTTCCTTCCGGATAATACTGTGTAAAAATTAATTTTTGTATTTAAAATGATGATCTATTCATATATTTCTGTGTCAGATTGATAAATCTTAGGTAAAGTGATATTTGAAGTGTCTCTTTGTGTCTTTCTTGTAGTTCTCTATTGAGATGATCAAACGTAGTCCAACAATCTTGGTCTCGCAGACATTTTTCTAATAATAAATAAAGTTGTTCACCATTCATATTTTCCGTTAATAAAATCATCATATCTAATTTATTATCATAAAGAAAATCTTGAACATGTTGTTCAGACCATAATTCTAGAGCAATTTTTTTATAGTCTTTAGATATGACAGCTGGACGAACAAGTAATTTCGTTGTTTCTGGTATAGGAGCAGCAACAGACGAATTTATTCTATAAAATAATATAAAATAAAGATATTGTTTTTATTTAAGATATAGATAAATAATTACTCATTTGTTTTAATCTTTGGAATATTTTTTTCTTCATTGTATTCATATCGTTCAATTTCAACTTTTAATAAATGAATAGCTTCTTGAAAGTCATTTTTTATAAAGTCAATATCGATTTTTCCAGCAGATATAAATCCAAGCCAACCATCACGTTCAACTTTTTGAACAATCAATGGAATAATTATTTTTTTTCTATCACGAGCATATTCAGCTTCATTTCGACAATGTCCACTTGTTTTATAAGTTTCTGACATACACATAAGAATGATTTTCGATTTTTCTACTGCCTTTGCCATTGCTTGACATAGGGAACCAGTCATTTGATTTTCATCCAACCATACTCGATAATTAAATTGTTGTGTTAAATATTTATAAATGTCATGTATTAATGATTTGTCATGCCAACTGTAACTAATCATCAAATCAAACTCATTATCTTTTTTGATCGCTGTTGTTTTTTGTTGTTTTTTAAATTTATCTTCATTTTCTAATTTCCATAATAAACCATCTATTACTTTTTTCAAACGTCCATTGGTTTTTATCAAATTATTATCATTAGCAAATTTTCGAATTTCAGACATAAAATCTTCACGTTTCTTTATTATTTCGGATGCTTTCTTATTAAATGACATTAGAAAAAGACATTCTAATGCCAATAATCCTATGTGTTTTGTAAATTCTTGTGCATCAATTTTGAAATTTTCTTTAATTTGTGTATATATTTCTGAAATTTTTGGGTCAGCTTCTAGTTCTTGTTGATATTCTGAATCTATTTGTAGTTGAAGTTTTACTTCAGCTTCAAGATCGATGAACGGATTAAGAGGGTGTGGAAATTCTAAAATTCCACTTGCATTATCCATTAATGCTCCTAAATACTCGTTTTCAATGAATCCATTTTGGACTTGATCATGTTGTAAAAAATGCTGTAGGAAATGAAAATAATTATTCATCTAACATCAATATGTCAAATTTGTAAAAAAAAGCAAATTATCGTTGCACTATCAGAATCTTGTTCGCGATTTAAATTTTTTCTGAAATTAAAAATTAGCAGTTGTCCTTCAGTTGAGTCTGTGGTGATTATTATCTAGAATTTTGACAAAATTCTAGATTATGAACTATTGCTGAAGAAATCACTGTTGTCATCATTTACGATTATTTCGGGTGCATCAATTTTCTTTTGAGATTTTCTAATATGAAGTAATTGAAGCATCCTGCAGCTAATCATTGTCATTCTTATGGACTATCAGTCTCGGTTGTTCGATTTTGTGTATGACAGAGGTATAAATGATGGTCAATTTTCATGTCTAGTTTCTAATAAATTCTTTTCTTCTAATGTGTGTCAGATGTTGAGCAACTCTGTTGCATGAGCTTTCTATTTGACATAGAAGACACTCTCAAATGTTTATTTTTCAAGGTATATCACCCCAAAACTAACATAATTTCACCTTTCTCATAATGATAGACGACGGTTACAGTTATACCGGGTGTGAGCCTCTTGGTCAATCACAGTTTCAATGAATTCTAACTATGAGAAATAAGCATCGATTGTTTTCTATACATTTCAAGAGATATCTCGAGTGAAATTTTCAAATTGTGATGAGAGTGCATTAGATTGCATGATTGAAGCCTCTTCTGTTCTTCTCTGGCAACATCGAGAACTACTGATTAATGCTTTTCGTAATTTCGTTCTTACCGTATATTATGCGAACGTCATGTATTTTAGTTTCAAATTGATGTGACATTTCTTTTTAATACTGGAATGTACAAAAAATTAGTAAATAAAATAATGACATGTTGAAAACTAACATCTTTATTTCAAATGCGAACTTATAATTTAGATATATTTTGCTCTATTGAAAAGTAGAAAACGATTCTCAATTGAAATTGTCTATTTATAAAAGTATAGAAGATGAGAACTGAAAACTAAAACTATCTGATTGAATGAAACTTTCCAAATTTTTCTTTTTGTGATATAATCTTCTACATATTCTAGAGAACATTGTTTTTCTTTATTCGATAAAAGCATGAATTCAACTATGAACATTCGTATTCTGGTATAAGAAAAATTTTTAATCTAAAGTTCGTTAAACCGTTGAAAGAGCCGTTTAATATATATTTAGTGCCTTTCTGATACTAATATAATCAAGTTATAACCTCTTTCAATCTTTGAAAGGCGTTGAACTTTTAAAAATTTATGCTTATGTCGAATCAAGTTATATTTAATTTAGGATAAACTATCAAGAACAAGATTCTGAAACGACAATTAATAACATGATTTGATATAAGATGACCAAAGATGAGTATGACACCGTGTACGATTGTTTTTAATGGCATATACATTTTGCATTCGTCAATCAAGGCAAACATCACAATATTAAAAACAATTGTACACTTCTATCAATTGAACTATATAAAGATGGATAACTCTGCCAATGTCAATTCTAGTTCCAAGTCGAAGTTCCTAATCTCTAGAATTCTCTTTAGATATTTTACAATCTTTTCATGTAAATGTGTGCAAATGCGATTTATTTGAATGACTTTAAAGACTTAGAGATATTGTTACAATCTAAAGTGTTCCAGTCTTAACAATCACTACTTTACTAGGGATTTAGCGAATGCAGAAAAAAAAATTATTGTTTGTTAACTAGTTTTCAATTCAATAACGATGAACAAATCGAAGAACTATACTTGTGAATTTGATTCAGAAGCAATTCGATACTCAAAGTTCAATTTTATCTGAAGATTTGTCGCATCTCTAAAATTTGTCATTAATTCTTATATAATCGATATGTTAATTCTCGTCCAGATATATTATTCTTTATAGATCATATATACTAAAAAGTAAAAAAAATATAGATTTCGTCAAAAGCACCTAATAGGTGAATAGGATCAATTCTGAATAGTTACTAAGACATAAAGAAGCATACCTTTTAATGCTATCATAAGATCTATAATATATACTCCATTACATAAAAATCGAGAAGATTGATCAACATTATCAACTAATACCGAAATTATTTGATTTGGATTATTAATTTCGTTTTTAATATCATTTTCATTGATTAACAAAGTTAAAACAGCATAAGCAGAAGTTTTTATTGGATGATTATCTTCAATTTGTCTCATTGATTTTAATAATATTTCTTTGATATTTGTATTATATTTAATATCTATTAAACAATTTTCATCTGTCTTAATAAAATGAATAATCAATTTTAATATAATCCATAAAACGATTGTAGGTTTAACATTTATTGTATTTGAAGGATCATTTCCATTCCATTTAAATTTAATGTTTGTATAATCATCATTTTTGACACCTTCAAGAAAATGTTCATTGATTAACAATGATGAAATTAGTTTAATAATCGATAAATATTGATCCTTTTGTGAAAAATTTTGAAATTGTCCATATGTTTTAAGAAGATGAATTGAACTTTCTATTGTTTGTTGCTTAGTAATCATATTTGTAATTAAATATTTAATTGCATTTAGTCGTAAATGATTAGGATATTTATCTTGTATATCATTAGCTGGATGTGGTAATAATTCTTTAAGCATATATTCATATTTTGGTAACCAAAACTGACAAAGTTTGTCGCGAAGTTCATCAGTATAGAAAAACGAACTAGTAAGTGAACGAAAACCGGTAAATAATAACCATTGATAACTTTCATTTAACGGTTCTGTATCAAGTTGTCTGATAGCTTGTTGATAATGATTAACAACATCTGATGAAGTATAATAGTTACATAAAAGCTTACATAGATCAGCATCTGTGAATTTCTTGTGTTTCTCAGAATAAACTTTGAAGGTTTCAATAATGGAAGATAATGATGACATTATTCAAATATTTCGTACAAATATAAGATGAATGAAACTAATTATCTAAAACACTTTTTCATCAAATTAATTATCACCCTAGTCGATCCTCCCCACCCAAGTCATCGGGTGAGTCCCTTGAAAAATGCGAAATCCCTGGAGAGTTGAATATCTCAGAAATCCCCTGGAACTCCTCGGGTATTCTCCAAATTTTATGGGATCCTTGTAAAATTTTCATGAATTTAGGTTTTTCAGAGCTTTCCAATGGTGTTCTGTTGGAAGATCTTGATAGTACTCATAAATTTCCTGGTGACTTCCTATCAATTTCATAACAAAATATCTCTCTACAGTCAGATATTTCTTCTAGAGTATCATTCAGAAAATTTAATGCTTGGATGAATGCATAAAGTTGAAGTTAACAAGAAAAAAATCCGGAGTATAACGGCTTTTATAGATGAAATAAAAATAAAAATGTGGAAACCTCGGATTTAAATCAGAGTGTTATGTGTACTTCAAAAAGTGAAGAAACGATTCTTTAATCCAACAACTTTTGTTCAGAATTTTCGAAATATGACTTCAGATTCGGATTCGCCTACGCCGATTTCTTTTCGTCAACCTTTATAAGTTATCAAGATTTTCTTAAAAAAGGAGGTTCAAAATTTTCAAAAACTGACTTCAGATTCAGATTCCTCGACCCCAATTTGCTTTCGCCAACCTTTATAAAATATCGCTATTTTCTCAAAAAACGCTTTCCTTGGCCCAAAATTTTCAGGTCAATTTGTAATGCTTTATATACCATTTTGTAGCTCGTGAAATTCTCTATCGGACGGTGTATAATAGTTGGGGTTTCATTTGACTATGATAGGAAAAGTGTTTTACAAATGTGGAGATAAGCCAATTTTCCTATAGGAAGCCATAGGGAAAAATCAGTATTTTTGCAATAACTCAGGAAGGGCTAATCCAAACAGGCTCATCTTCGAACTCGACTGAGACATTGATAAGATTGAACTGTGTAGAAAATTTCATCGCGCTCTGACTCTCCTTTCGAAAGTTATCGTGTACACGGATGGACGGACGGACACACAGACCGATTTTAGTAGTGTACTCACTTTTTGAGTACACAAAAACAAGATTAAATTCTTATATTTCGGCATCAATGTGTATGTTTGATAATATTTTTTTCAAGATGATGTGCATCAAATTAAGAATTATTTGATGATAAAAATGAAAGTAGAAAATTTTATTTTATAGAGTAGATTTCTCAAATCACAATTAGGAAAATAAAATGAACTTTTTTAGCACCGCTCATTAAATCATTTTGGAATTGATAAGATTTTATAAATTAAATCTTAGCATCTATTATTTGTCTTATCATGTTAGATAAATGGATGAGATCTATTTTTCATTTTTCCCATTAGGTTCTGTTACGAATAACAATATAAATACGATAAAAACAAATTTCTGTTTTGAAAATCTAACTTTCAATCGAGGGTTTTTGATTTATTATATATTCACAGATAAATCATCACAAAAAAAACCAAACAAACTTTAGTACGACGGTCATCGAATAAGATAATATTTGGAAAACGATTTGAACATGATCATTTTAATGATAAAAATGTGATCTTCATATAATAAATTGATTGCTAAAA